CGTGCAGTGGCTCCATCTTTGCAGACCGTCCCAGAATTTCAGGCGGTACATTTTGAACACTGTTAAAACCAAAACCACGGAGACGACGTTTGGAGCCCAGCTTGTTTAACCAGGGCGAGGTGCGGCCGTAGGCTACTGACAAGTGCTGTTGCAGCCATCTGCGAGCTGAACATACCCGTACTTGCTGCGACGCATCCCAGGCTATCCTTCGTATTAGGGGAACGCGTGCTTTGAATTGGCGAGGAAGACTCACAGGCCGAACTACGGTTGGTGGAAGCCGAAGCCGGCGAAGCACCCTCTCAAGAAGGCGACGGGCAGCTGCTTTCGGCGCGGCTCCAATATGGCTGCTTTGAGGCTGCTTGCAATGCGATGTAAGATATTCCCAGCATCATTTCGTGACCAGGAAGGGCACGCATCCAGTAGCGGCCGTGAGCTTGCACAATTCGAGCACAATAGTTTCAATTGATCATGATGACATATCCACACTGGACCATTGAAGCCAAACAGCACTACGCAGATAGCCTGGAGCCATCGATACAACACTACATAGGACCCTCTCCGCGATGTGATGGGTGAGCGAACTTTTGGCGTAAGACGTTTTGAGAGATTCGGTTGGAAAGCTTGAGATGCCCACGAATCATGTAACTGCTGTGCCCGATGTCGCGGTAGGGGTTGGTTTCGGTGTTTAGCACGTTTTGGTCGCGAAGTTTGCGCGGCGCGCTTCCCAGCTCGCCACTGGATCTCACCTGCACGATTGCAGCAAGGGTTCATGGACTCGATGCTGGTCGCCTCCACCGCGAACGCCCGACGCGATTGGGGCGAGGAAGAACGAGCCGATGCTCCCCCTGAGGGCGCCATGCCTGGCCGGACGGCCGTCCCTTGACTGCGGCAGCAGGAGGCCTCACACGTGCTCCAAGGCTCTCTCCTCCTCCTCCTCCTCCTCCTCCTCCTCCTTGTCCTCGTCTTCCTCCTCCTCCTCCTCCTCCTCCTCCTCTTCCTCGTCTTCCTCCTCCTCCTCCTCCTCCTCCTCCTCTTCCTCCTCCTCCTCCTCCGCCTCCTCCTCCTCCTCCGCCTCCTCCTCCTCCTCCTCGTCTTGCTCCTCCTCCTCCGCCTCCTCAGGAATCTTGCATCACCACAGAAAGTTCGTCCGAGGCTGCCGCGGCCTCCCTTCTCCCGCGGATCGCATCCAAGAGGCGATCGCCACCGCCACCGCTGGGGCAAACCTATACACTTCCCAGCCTCAGAGCTGAAGGCACCCAGATGGGCGAACGGGTGGGGCGAGGTCGTCAGCGTCGTGGAAGCGGGGGGAATCGGCCAAGGGTGCCTTCGTGGCTAAGCTAAGTAGTTGGATGTACCCGGATCGTTTCCACGAGCTTCAGCCCAGAAGGCTACGCACGTGGTTCCCACATGTGGACCCCTTGCCCGAGGACGAGATCAAAGCCATGTGGCTGCGTCTTCGGCAGGCTTTGGTCAGTTCGCAGCCCAGTAGAGTTGGGTCTCGTCTTAAGACTCTGGCCGGAGGGTGGATCACCAGCCACAAAATCAACATCGTCACCCCTTTACGGTATCGATTTGGCTGCCCCGACTGCCCCGACTCGTTCCTCCTTTACCTTTCTTGCCCCCGCCTTCTAAATCTCATCGCGCTGTCCCATCTGCACATTCCGTCCGCTCCTCCTTTTCTCTGTCTTGGCCTGGGATCCGAGGAGGAATACCAAGATACCGATCTCACGGTGGCCCTTGCTCATGACTTAATCAGTCTCGCTTACAGTATATTGCATAAGCTTCGTGCCGAGCTTTCTGAAACCCCGCAGCCGCTCGGCAGCTACACGCAACACCTTTAAATCCTCCATGCGGTGCTCATCAGACGGTAACCCAGGGCTCGCCTATGGACGTGCGCTCCTCCTCCTCCTCCTCCTCCTCCTCCTCCTCCTCCTCCTCCTCCTCCTCCTCCTCCTCCTCCTCCTCCTCCCCCTCCCCCTCCTCCTCCCTCCTTTCCTCGGGCTGCCAGGCCGCGGCGCGCGCCCGGGCAGCGCCCGAGGTGGGCCAGTGCCGACGTGGCACCCCTCGGGGGAACCGACGAGGCAGACGGCGGCCTCCGAGCTCTCGGCGGTCAAAACAGGGGGCCACATGCGAACCCTACCTTCGACGTCTTAGGGGGCCACATGCGAACCCTACCCCTACCCCCCACGATTATTGAGGGGGAGGGTGGGGTTCACTTTGTTCGAGAGCTCCCGAGCGAAGTGAACCCCACCCTCCCCCTCCAAAATCGTGGGGGGTAGGGGTAGGGTTCGCATGTGGCCCCCTATGTCTGTTCATGGGAGCCTTGGACGGCGACATCGAAGTCAGCTTTTCCTGCATGTGGACAGCGTGGGGACTGCATTTGGCCCACCCTCCTGCTCCTCCTGGCCCCTCCTGCACCCCCTCCCCCTCCTCGTTCTCCTAGCCCCCACGAATGCAGTCCAAGTCTGGTCCAAATCCGGTCCAAATTTGGTCCAAATCCGGTCCAAATCAGGCCCAAATTGGACAGTGCCGGGGGCCACGCAGGCTCCCATGAAACGGACACCAAACCCCTCCCCCTCAGAAATCGTGGGGGGGGTAGGGGTAGGGTTCGCATGTGGCCCCCGACAAAATCCACCGCGAGACCCTCGACCATGCCAAGGACGGACGCGAGACTATGCCATCCTGATGCTTTCCAGGCCTCCTAGATGGTGTCGGATTAGATGGGGTCGGAGGATCGTGCCGCATCGCCGATGCGGCTCGATGCGGCTCGATGCGGAGCCCGATTTCTTTCACGCGACCGTCGCCGATGCATCGCCGACGTCGCTGATGCATCGCCGGTGCATCGCCGATGCATCGCCGATGCATCGCCGGTGTATTGCCGATGCGGCGCGATCCCCCGACCCCATCTGCTCCGACCCCATCTAAGAGGCCTCTATACTTTGACGGAAACATGCACGCACCACTGTTGTCGAAACCAGCGGGGACGGCGTGCAACACTGGTGAGCACGTCGAAGTCGACACAGTCCAGAGGCGGCCAACAGTAGACACGTGGTGAATGACTTCGCTTCTGAACGCACACCGCCTCGACTGAGTGGTGGGAGCAACGCGTCAACATATGCTGTCAAAGCTGCCACCAGACTCGCAAGAACATCTGTTTGAACAGACAAGCTGCACCAGGAAACAATCTCTCGCATGCTCGATGCTGATGGATTTTTCAGAAGCAAGCCCAACCGCTGAGGTGAAGAATGGCGAAGAACGAACTGATCGGGAAGTGGCCATCGATGACGCATGGGTTAGCTGAGTGACGTACGAGGTACGCCTACTGTCACGGTACCTGGACGACTGGGACTCTCCGCGGGCCGTTGCCGTGAGGCCGAGTCACGCACAGTGATCTTCAGTATTCAGTGCTTGGCATGGCTCACGCGGGACCGAACCTTACGCGGTTGAGCGTCTGCGCCCGCGCCGGCTCCTGAGCCCAACGGGAAATACAGAGATGATGATGCTGGTGATGATGGTATGATGATGATGCTGCTGCTGATCCTGCTGCTGATGCTGATGATGGTGATGCAAATTCTCATGATGCCGATGGTGATGCTGATCATGATGATGATGGCGATCATAATCATGATGATGCTGATGATACTGATGATGATGGTGATGGTGCTGATGACGATGCTGATGATAATGATGATTCGGATGATGGTGGTGATGATGATGATGATGATGATGATGATGATGATGATGCTGCTTATGCTCGTGTTAATGATGATGCTGCCGATGATGATGCTGATGATGATGCTGATGCTGATGCTGATGCTGATGCTGATGATGATGATGATGATGATGATGATGATGATGATGCTGATGATGATGATGATGACGATGATGATGATGATGATGATGATGATGATGATGATGATGATGATGATGATGATGGTGCTGCTGCTGATGTTGAATATGATGCTGATGCCGATTAATTCGTTTGTGCCGTCTTGAAGCTGTCTTGGCCTCTTGCGGGGCAGTCTTTGAGGTCCCTTGAGGTCCTCTTGGGCGGGGGCCCTCTGACGCTGGCTTGGGGCTCCATTGGGCCGTTGTGATGCTGTCTTGGTCGTATGGTTGGTGTCCGGGGGTCGTCGTGGGTTCGGCTTGGCGCCGTCTTGGGCCGTCGAAGGGCTTTCTAAGGCCGCCTCGGGTCCCACGGGAGGCCCTCTTGGGCCGCCTTCGGGCCGTCGTGGATGCTTCTTGGGCCATCGTGCTCTACGGCCGTCTTGAGCTGACGGCAGCCTGAAAAGGCGAGAATGCGACCATCATTCAAAAACCCACTGGAAATCAATGGTTTTTGCTACTTCGGACCCTGTTGGGAGTCCTCTTGTGGCCCATGTTGGTCCTCTCGGAGGTATCTTGGGCCGTCTTAACTCAATATTCGGCCGCGGTGGGGCCATCTTGGGCCGTCTTCGAGGCATCTTGGGCCATTTTGGTATGCTTGGTTGCCTGCGCGGGCCGTCTTAGAAGCGCGGGACGCATGTCCATCGTTTCTAACAAGGGGTTGTGGCTTGGGGGGCCCTGGAGAGCTTGGGAGCAGTGCCTGAGGGACGTGCACGATCCCTGAGCGGGTACGCGTGGGATGAGGGGTCCAGGAGTTCGCAGCCAGGCGGGAAGTGTACAATCTTCGAGCGGGCGCGCATGGAATGAGGTTTCAGGCGTTAGCTCTTATGCGGGAAGCGCAAGATCCTCGAGCGGGCGCGCATGGAAGGGGGGTTCAGCCATGCCATGCGGAAAGTGCACCGTCCTCGAGCGAGCACGCGTGGAATGGGGGCTCAGGGCTTGGCTGTCATGCTGGAAGCGCACCGCTCTCGAGCGGGCACCAGGGCAGCGGCCTCGGAAAGGAGGGGCGGTGCACGCAGCAGTCCGCGGGCAGGGGGGGGGCGGTCCTTCATTGGGTTGTTAGACAAGCCCTGCCCGACAGACCTTGGCTTTCTTCCGAGCCTCAACATGCCAAGGGGCACGGTGACGGATTCACTGCGCCATCTGTGCAATATCAACGATGCAGACGGATGGTGGTTGAGTGGGCAGCGCGGCAATCATGGGGCGATTGGGCGGGGAGGGGGGTGGGTGGGAGGTGGAGGGGGGGTGGGGTGGTGCTGTGTATGGTGGAGTGTGTTGTTGATGTGGGGTGTGATGAGTGGGGCGTGTGTTTTTGTTTTTTGATTTGTTTGTTTGTTTTTTTTTTTGTTCCTGTTGGTTGTATTTTTTTTTAGTATTTATTTGCTTATTGGTTGGTCCTTATGTGCAGTGTTTTTTAATTTGGTTTTGTTTCTTTTTTGTTTCTTTGTTTTTCTTTTTTTTGTGTATTGTTGTGTTGCTGTTTTTGTTTTTTTATTTTTCTTTTTTTTATTTATCTTTTTGTTTTGATTTATTGTTCCGGTTGTGTTTTTCTCTCAGTATTTCTATTTGTTTTCTTTGTTGTTGTTAGTTTATGTTTTTGTACTTGAGTTTTTTTTTTTTTGTTGTATTCTTGTTCGTTTCCCTGTTTTGCAGTTGA